ATATCAATCTACTACTACAGTATCCCTGTTTAAATTTTGCTGTTTTCATCGAGTAAACTGAAGGGATGTCTTTATTTTAGCTGGCTGTTTAAATTTTGCTGTTTTTATGGAGTAAACTGAAGGGATGTCTTTATTTTAGCTGGCTGTTTAAATTTTGCTGTTTTTATGGAGTAAACTGAAGGGATGTCTTCATGTCTGCAAATTTAAAAAGGTAAAATTTAGATCTTTTAAGAAATTTTACCAGAACCGCAAAAAAACCAGCCGCAAATATTTACCGGTTTACAATAGGCCACAGTCGACTTTGGCCAAACATTCAACTCCGTGCGAAGCACGGGTATTTGCTAGTATATATATATACATATATATATATATGCGTGTTCTTTTGTCGTCCGTAGGTATTCATGGCAACGCGCGAATTGTGTGAATCATTCATTTTTGATTATCTATAACACATTGTATTTGTTTTTGATTATTTGATTCTATTTCAATGTCTGCTGACCTGATGAAGAGATGTAATCTCGAAAGCTCGTCAATTAAACTTTAAACACCCTTATTCTATACCTTGACTTTGTTTTTATCTACACGGGTGTTCGTGTGTGACTTTACTTATATATATATATATATAATTATATATATATTGCAAAAGGGCGCATCCTCTGGTCGTGATACGGAGACGGAGTGTTTGAAATACTCGTCCTGTATGAGGCTGTAGCTGTGGCCTATCAAGCAGTGATTCTTTATCAAGCATATTCTAGCTAGACGAGCATTCCTTCCTTACGGCATGTGTCAATCCCAGAGAGCTGGATTCAAAGCAGGAGAGTTGCTACTGAATTGGTAGGTGACTATGGCTGGCTGCACGTTATATTTTATGAGCTCTCTCTCTCTCTCGGGACGAACCTGAATTGCTGTAGCAAATATGAAATTCCGGAGCGTGACCAGAGGAACGTCCACCAAAAGCATGTTATGTCGTAATACGTCGTGCAACTAATGCTACCAAGTGTGTTCGGTGTGGAGTATATGCCTTTAAAGTTTAAACCCATGTTGTATGCATCCGTTGTGGGCAAATATATGGAATGAGATGTTTGTGCTGTTAGTGTGTTGTACTGAGTAGGCTGGGAGGGGACATGTACTCGCCATGCCATCGCACAAGAACCGGCAGTGAAAACTGTGTGAATGGTTACAAGGTGCAATTGCCTGTTCCAGAGCTGTAGCTATATGGTCCCTCTTATTGTGTAGGTTAAATCGCCTACCTAATTTATCTATATATGTAATAATTGAAGGAACTAATTATAGAATGGCTTCCTAGTGAGATTAGCATGGTGTGACTGTCGTGTGTATATTGGTGTCAATATATAAGTGTACTGATGTTGTTGTTTTTCAAGTCCAGCACTCCTGTCACAACTCGACAGTATGGTCAATAGGTACAGTGTGCTCGCTAGAAGTATCGTCTGTATTTGAACAGGACATATAACTTGTCTGCTTCTAATGCTATAGCTGTTAGAGCTGTTTGCTGTAGCAAGTATCCATCCAATAAGAATCACTATCACTCGCATACCTCATGGATGTCTTTTCTGGGCTTCTACTAGTATGCACAGATCACGATGACATTCATTTATTACGAAGCTTGAAGCAGATATTTACCAAGCTAAGAAGCTTTCCTCACTGGTAGCAACAAAGACAATAATGTTCTCATTTGGATGGATATTTGGCTGTAGTGCTGTGTTTTACTTCCGAGTGTTCTTGGGCATTTCCATGTTTTCCATTGTGAGCATGTGATGATTGAAAACCTCTTAGCATTTTATGTGATAATTGATCCTGTCGTTCGGTAGCAGGTGGTTGCGTTGGGGATCCATTGCATGCGTGAGATTCAGTAGGGTTTATATAGCTGCCGCGGTGCATGACAGGTGTTTGTTCATCATCATAAATTCTTCCCTAAATTGTGTTGCATCTACCACTCTGATCTATTGATAGCTTAATTATTAGGTGACCGATTGCAAACATTTTGCAACTATTGAATTGTATTCCATGCCCCTTGGGTAGTACTCTCCTATCCACATGCCGGAGGTGTTTAGCAATGCAGTAGGCAAGTTACAGGTAAAATTGACGAGGATAAGTCTGCTATCACTAAATAAACTTGTTTGTGAATAATCACGTCAAAAAGGGTTCTCCACTCGCCTATTTCAGTAGGTCCAATATCCCTTCTTGTCAAAGTTAATCGACGACAGCGCAATGCGATTTAGCTACGTAATCAGCTTTGATTACTTTATTAAGGATGCGCCTAGTTTTTGGAGCAGTATGTATTATTCTCATGCTCTAACTCATGTCTGCTGTGGTCTGGTTTTTCCTACCGTTCGTACCTATTTTCAAACCAAAGAGAGTTTTTAGTCGCATCGTCTGAGAAATTACATTGCCATATTATTTGTCCTTTGCTACATGAAGTGTGACCTGGAAAGATACTATGGTCCATTTTATGTTGCTATCTGCCTAGCACCATTGCCGTGAAAATTTTGTGGTCCGGTGGTAATGTCCCTCACAGCAGGCGTGAGTATATATTGCGAGATGTATGTCCTAGAAATTTCTTTCAATGAAATGCCACAGAGTTTGTGTAGTATGCAATTCCTTGCCAGCATTTTTATTTTCTGTCAGCAGTAATTCGATGTCAGCAATAAATTTTTGCGCTCTTAGTTTGTTAATTACTTAATGTCGAGCAGTGCTGGAAGTTTATGTGCAGTATATTCAGGACAATAATAGGCATGACTGTCTGAACCTCTTAAAGTGTGGCTGCATGCAGGGCTTGCATGTGTGGTTTTTGCCGTGTTGTTCAGTCCACTGAATGCCTGTCTCCTATGGTTTTTTGTGCCATCCTTTTAGGCACGTATAATTTATTTTGCTCTGTAACTCTCTTCTCTCTCTCTCTCTCTTTCTCTCTTGTTCTCGCTCTCTCCTCCTCCCTCTCCCTCTCTCTCTCTCTCTCTCTCTCTCTCGCTCTCTCCTCCTCCCTCTCCCTCTCTCTCTCTCTCTCTCTCTCTCT